AAATGACATAGATCCGAAGCTCTGATCTACATAAAGCAAGAGCATCAGAGAATGAATAAGCAGATGTAAAATAAAACCTTATTTTTATTATTATAATTGATATGAGATATCTCATTGCACTCTTTTCTTGCTTACATAGAGAGAAGTCAGATATAATTCTTATCTTTGCTCTTCTATAGGTAACAATTTTTTTCCTCTGGTGTCTCAAATTTTTTTCTTTGTCTTTGATTTTCTGAAGATTAAATATAATACGTCTAGGTGTTGTTTTGTTTTCATGTCTGGTGTCTTATTTATCCTGTTTGGTGTCTTCTGAGCTTCCTGGATCTGTAGTTTAGTGTCTAACATTTACTGTGGAAAGTTCTCAGTCATTATTACTTCAACTACTGCTTCTGTTTCTTTCTCTCTTTCTTCTGTTATTCTCATTACACTTTTTAAGTTGTCCCATGATTCTTAGATGTTTTATTCTGTGGGGGTTTTTTTTAAGACTTTTTTCACTTTGCTTTTCAATTTTGGAAGTTTCCACTGTCATATTTTCAAGCTCAAGTAGTGTTTCCTCAGCCATGAATGGGCTCATTGTCAGACTGGACATATGAGCCCATCGAAAGCATTCTTCATTTCTGTTACAGTTTCTTTTTTAAATCTCTAGCATCTCTTTTCGATTCTTTCTTAGAAATTACATGTTTATGCTGACTTTATCCACCTATTCTTGCATGTTGTCTACTTTTTCCATCAAATCCCTTAGCATGTTAATCATAGTTTAAAAAAAATTCCTGGCCTGGTCGTTCTGACATTCATGCCGTATCTGACTCTGCTTCTGATGCTTGTTCAGGCTCTTCAAACTGTAGTTTTTGCCTGTTCATGTGTCTTGTAATTTGTTGTTGTTGTTGTTGTTGAAAGGCAGATGTGATATACTGGATAAGAAACTGTGGTAAAGAGGCCTTTAGTAATGCCGTGGTGAGGTGTAGGGGGTGGGGAAGCACCTGTAGCCCCGTGATTAGGCCCCACTCTTTTGGTGAGCCTGTGCCCTGAATTATGGGCTACACCAGTGTCTCATTTGTCCCCCACCCTGCCTTCAGTGGGGCGAGACGGCTGTGAGGAGGCTGGATCTCTGTGCTTCCCTTCCCCCATATGGTAGGCTAGGGTGGGCTAGAGTTACATATTTCTCTCCTCCCAAATTGGTCAGGCTCTGATAAAACCCCAGTAGTTTAGGCTCTGGCAAAATCAATTCTCCTGGCCTCTTGAGAAGAACAAAGAGCTGTGGCATATTTCAGAATGATCACTTTTCCCTTCCCCCTGTCGGAGCACAAGGGGATTTTTTTTTTTCCTTCAGTATTTACCTTGCAGAGCTCCTGGAGGTAAAACTCACAGACACATGGGGCACCCTCATGACAGGGTCCCCCTGGAGTTTTTAACTCTCAGAACTGTTCACATTGAGCCTCCAGCAACTCATAAGTTACAGCTCAGGTTTTCCTACCCCTGGGCTGGTTCTCATAGATGTTCTTGCTCCAACAAGCTGTGATTCTCTGTATCCAGCCTGTCTATGTCTCCAATTTGGGGGTGAGGGGCAACTTTTTGCCTTGGGACCCCACTTCTCTGATGGATTTAGGAAGAGTTGTTAATTTTTCAGTTTTCTCAGGTTTTTTTTATTTTGTCTGCAAATGACATTTATTATTAAAGAAGGTGCTTTATTAATTCCTCTGGCAGCACTAGTGAATTACAATACCCTTCAATATTATTTCTAACCATAATACATACATTCAACTTTCATGCCTCTAGGAAAACATATACAGTATATTTCATAATAGAAAAATACATTACAAATCTGCTGAATTATTTACAGGCAATGTTCTATTATCTCTATGCAACATTTGTTTGATACAATACTAACAAGCTACACATATTTCCATTTCTGTAATTAAAAAAAATCCATATGGCTTCTTGATTACTAAGCAAGAAAGTGATTTTATTTTCCTTTTCAAAACAACTTTGGTGTATAAAGAATTCAGTTTGAAGATACTTTTTTAAAAATACAATTTTTCTTATGTTAAGAAAAAGACAGCAACTCATAAACTAAATGCTTCCCTCAGGGGAAAAAAATAAAAGTTTATATAACTTAAAATGAAAACATAAGGATTATTAAATAATGTGAAATAGAGGTTTTTCAAAAACCATGAACAGATTAGTTACCTGGGTAAATATTACCATGCTGTACTCCATGAGAAAACCCTAGTCCTGAAAGGGGAGCCACCAGACGTACTGCAACACTCTTTAACAGAAATTTTCAGCCCTAATTCCATCAATGAATTTTTAGTTGATGGCAAATGTCATTCATTGTTTGCTTAAATACAAATTGAACACTTTTCTTATCAGAGCTCTGCGAAAGAACAAAAATGGCAACCAATCACATCTATTGATGATAATTGAAAGGTGAATTATCTCGACAATTTGCATTGTCTAAATATTTCCTAATATGACTTGAAGTATCCTTACAGTGCTTTTGGTATTTGTAAGGGTACATGTTGTAATTGTTGTTCCAATATAAACTACTGTAATTACTAAAAGTTTAAAAAAAAAAAGCAGCTTAAAGCAGCAAGCATGCAAAGGCTTTTAGAAGCTGTTTCACTAAGTTGCCAGAAGAGTGTTTGCTCAGTCTCCCCCAGTACTATTCCATGAAAATGTGGATATTCAGTAATACATTAATATATTCCACAGAAAAGCCTACTTCATTTACAGAATGTTTACACTAAGCATGCATATTATTCTAAATACTGGATTTAAGAAATAAAAAAAGGAAGAGGTTTGACTCTAACGCGTAACTTTTACTAAACCCATTGTCGATGACTAAGACTGCAGGTGTCCCCGCTTGTTCGCTTTCTATGTATTTATTTATTTATTGCCTCTTCAACCTCTTCTGCGGCATTGTTCTGTATATGTTTGGATCCAAAAGCAAGGCAGTTTTTAATTGATATCGCACACTTTCATTCACCCACACATCAGGCAGAAGGTCTTCAGGCATCCAATAAAGCGAAAGCTCTATCTTTCCAGAATCCTGTTTTCTCTTAGCTATTACAGTACTGTGAGAAACAACACTGTGTCCCTTCCCTGAACTTTCTATGTGAGCTGAGATGTTAAAGCATATGGCTTGATGTCTTACTGTATCCTGTGTTTGTACATCTAAGAAATCCTATGGTTGTGGTAATGAGCGTCATCTTTTGTTCTTTCATTTCCTCCTTTTGTTCATTCCAGCTTTAGAAGGAGACCCTTCTTTGGCCTTTGGCTGGCTGGAAACTTTTGAGGAGTTCTGCTGACTGTGTTTGGGTACCTGGGGAGCCCGCCCTCCACTGTGTATCAACATCAATTTGTTCAGCTTTTTAACTTGTTGTTAGGACATAGTGGCAGCTTCTGAGCTCCAGACATGCCAGGCTAGAAACCAGAAGTCCCTTCCTCTGCCTTCTAATACCCGCCCTCCAGCAGTCCCTCCCCTCTCATGGACAGGACCACGCAGGCGATGCTCTGGGGCCCCAAAGGCAAAAGAGAAGAGCATGTGCTGAGGGGTGGAGGTTGGTTACACTTGGCCAGTGGAAATGGACTAGCAGGTGGCACAGGGGACCAGCACCACCCTGACTCCTCTCCCCACACTCCATCCTTTGGCCGCACTGCCCTCCTCTGGGATGAACCTGCTAAGTTCCAGGACTTGTACATACTCGGTCTAAAGCACCCTCCCCCGCAATCCACCCAACCCAGGTCCTCTTATCTTTCCTAATTAGCTTTGACCCAGCCTCCAGAATAATTCAGGCAACCTGACCCCCATCTAGTTGGGGGTTTTCTGATCTGCGGTCATGGAACAGAGCCTGGCTCGTAGATGGCCTTCAATAAATCCTTGTGGCAGAAATGTGTGCATCAGTCTGTGTTCCATTCTGTAGTGTGTGTGGTTCCTGCTATAATCAAATATTCATTGAGATGATTATATATAATGTCCACCTGTCCCTTTAGGCCATGGGGATTTATTTTTTTCATAACTGAAGTCCCTACATTTAGCACAATGTGGCATGTAATAGGTGCTCAACCAACGTCTTGTGAACAATGAATGGATGACAAGAGGTGGGTTGAGTCCCGCACTGAGTAGAGGGGTTCAAACGCACTTGGGCGCCCATGTCACCTGTGTGGCGGCAGGGTGGGGAACACACTGTTCTAGAATGAACTCACTGGTGTTCTGGGGAGACTGTCAGCAAGGCAGTTTTTCACCTGGAGGCCAAATTCCTTGTGGATTATGCAAAAGCATTTTTTTGGTGGATGTGTTGGGGTGGTGGGGAAAGGAAGTGTTTCACCCCAGTCTGTAGCTCACATCAAATGCAGGCAGGGAGAGACCGGGCAGGCCCGGGTGGGAGGAGAGCTTGTTGGGACCAGACATCTAGAAACCAGTCAGCGTTCCCAGCAGCTACTGACTCATGTGAAGCCTCTGGGTGGGGGGCAGAAACTGGCTCTCCAAATCCAGGGTCTGGGGCTCTGTGATGGAGGGGAGGTTGGGATCCTGGTTGGCAAGCTGTAGGAAACTAACAGGATGATGAAGGCTTGGGGGGCCTAAGAAACAGTGAAGTCAGGGGTCTTGGTAGGGGAGGCTGATGTCAGGAGCAGGTGGTCCCTGAGTGGGAGGTCAGAGCCCTCAGTGGGAGGAATGAAGGCCAGGCTCTCACGATGCTAGCCTTAGACTCCCACCGTCCCGTGGACAGAGCCCCAGGCTGGGAACTGCAGGGTTCTGGCTCTTCCTGGTTGTGGGACTTCAGATTTGTTGTGGGAACACAGAAGGTCAGAGACTCCCAGGCTGTATGAATGGGAAAACAGGCCCAGAGAGGGTAAGACAATGTCCAAGGTGCCACAGGCAGGCAGTAGGTGATCTGAGCCTGGAGCCAATATCCCAGGGCTCCAGGGCCACCTTACTTTGGCAGGTTGCTCTAACGCTCTGGCCCTCAGTGTGCTCATCTATAAAATGGGGATAATGCCTGCAGCCATTTAAGCCGACTGTGCTCTTCTCCTTGTAGAAGGGCCTGGTGTGAAACGGCTGCAAACAGCAGCCTTCTCGGTCGTGTATGCAGCCTGTTGCCCGTATGGGTTGCCCTAAGGGACCCTGGGGACAGCCCTTTCCAGTGGACACTTATGTCTGGCATGCTGTCCCCAACCTAGGCTCCAGGTATGCGCGGTGCCTTTGGAAAGCCTCAGGGCAGTAGTCAGGATCTACCAAGTCATTGTGACCCTCCAAACAAGCTTCAGAACAAGGAGCATGTGACTGAGGACTTATGCAGGGCCAAGTTCGACTTCTCCAGCCACCAGAAGATCCCCATCTCCCAGAAGTGGGGATTTACCAAGTTTAATGCTGATGAACTTGAAAACATGGCAGAAAAGCAACTCATCCCAGATGGCTGTGGGGTCAAACACATCCCTGATCATGGCCCCCTGGACACATGGTGGGCCCTGCATTCAGGAGAGACATGGCGCTGGCCCCTCCTTACTCACGCCCACCAATAAATCCTACTTTCCTGTCATAAGCAAACAAACAAACAAACAAATAAATAAATTGGGGATAATAATACTTACCTTAGAGGATTGTTGTATTAAGTGAGATCATTCCTCCATGCAATAAATATTTATTGAGGGCTGCGGCAGACACTGCTAGTTAGTCTCCCTTCTTGAAAACGGAACCCCCATTTTAGCTGGGAACATAGCCACCTGGAGTAGATTACATTTCCCCATTTCCCTGGCATGTGTGCTGATGAGACTTGGGAAGACTTACAACAAGGCATGAAGCATGATGTGCGTTCCCTCCTCCTTGCTGGCTAGGATTCGGCAGTGATGGCTACTGTGGTCAACCTGGACATCATGTTGAAGACAAAGTAGAAGATGCGTGGGTTCCTGGTCACCATGGGGCCCCCATTCCCATGATCGTGGGGTAAGCAATGGGACTCCTCACTGCCGGACTTTGTTTACATGAGGCAAAAATGAATGTGTGTTTAAGTCGCCATTATCTTGGGTTTTCACTGCTACACCCAATCCTAGTTGATACAGAGCCATTTAGGTATGAGGCTCTGGACTCTGAGGATAAAACAGAGGAAAGAACCACATGTAGCCCCTTCCCTTCAGAAGCCTCCAGTCTGGTGGAAGTGAGAGGCCATCCAAAAAGCATGTGCACAAGTGAAAAATTACAGAAGTGCCATGAGGGTGGACAATAGAGGGCCTTGAGCTCCGCAAGGGCATGGAAGGTCCCTGAGGAAACCACACGTAACCAGTGACCTGAAGGGAGTAACCAGGAAGTGGAGAGGTGCAGACTTGTAGGAAAAGGTAACACCCTGTGGCAGGAGGGACAGTGGTGCCAAGGGACAATAGAAGATGGCCAGGGAGGCCCTGGGCAGAGAGCTGGGACCGCATGGTGTGAGGCAAGGCAGGGGCCAGACCAGCAATGGCAAGTTGGGTTTTGCTCCTGAAAGCAATGTGGACAACAGTGCCTGTAAAGAGCCCAGCAAGGTGCCGGGCCAGTGTTAGCACTCTCTCTGGGGTTGCTCTCTTTGTCTTGTTTAACCAAAACACGTTTGTGCTTGTAATGTCTGCACTATTTACAAGAGCCAAGACATGGAAGCAACCTAAGTGCCCATCAATGGCTAGATAAATGGATAAAAGAGATATGAGATATATTATATATATATGTATATATATATATATACACACACACATACACACACACACACACAATAACCATCAGTAGTCTTAAATATATATAGAAAAAGATGTGAGATATATGTATATATACGTGTATACACACACACACACACATATATATCTATATATGAATGTTATTCAGCCATGAGATAAAAGGAAATCTTGCCACTTGTGAAAAACATGGATTGACCTTGAGGGTATTATGCTAAGTGAAGTAAGACAG